TCCAGACATAGCACCTCTCCAGGGAAGAAGCACACAGTGGCCAAAATCCCTTCCTGTATGTAGGAATGTACGTGCACATGCACTGTCATCCAGGCCACAGATACTGACCACCCTTCCTCCAAGACAGAAAGTGGCTGCCTCCCACTATTTACCGAGTAGCCTCACAGTCAGAGAACATGGCTTGGGTATTGGCTTTTCTTCATCTTGGTGGCTGCCAAACAAAATACTGTATTTATTTATTTAACATGTGTGGGGGCAGTGTACTCTTTCAAATGAGATGATATTGCCTACCAGCATATTTTTTGATCAGATGAATTCATGGTCCTGGTTGACCATACCAGTGACCAAGCACTGGGTTTCAGTGACAGAAATGTCACTTCTGCTTCAACTAAAATCTGCTGGCCATTGAGCCAAGCACAGCCATACTAGGAACAGTGGCACTATGTAAGCTGCATACCATGACCATGTCGTGTGGCATAAAAGTATGACTACCCTCCATGCCAGCACACATCCACAGACAGGCCCAAGGCAAACTATGGCTGCAGACAAAGAGGATATATGAAAAACTGCTGAACAACTCCACAATGTGCCTCTTGTTTTGGAAGCCTGTGTTGTGCTGGTGGGACAGGTAGAACCTCAGGGCTGGAGAGCTGCAGCGCTATAATGGCTATGCATGAAATTCCAGTCCTAGAATTCACCATCTCCTCCTGAAGCATGGCAGACCATAAAGTACTATGGGAAGTCATCCTTCCTCAGCCATATACTAGCAGTCATCAGCTGACAGGGGGAGGTTAGCTTCAGTTGTTAGCAAATACCACTGAAGGCAATCTAAAATAACTGGGTTTACCTCACATTGCAGCTGGTTAAGGCACAGACCGAGAGAGCTGTTGTAACTCAGATAAGGGGTGATAGCTCTTAGGCTTCTCCTACTCAGTCACTTCTAAATGATTGAACATATTACCAGTTTAAATCCCCATGGCAATCTAAGCCTGCAACACCCAAACTTGGGCCTTAACAAACAAGACTTCAATTAAATAATTATTCAAGTCTATTCTTGATTCCAGGAGAAACTATTTCCAAGACAAGTTTGAGGTCTGTTGATGATCAGGCATCTGGGTACCGAGGCTGTTAACATGTGGACTGCATTTCCCAGAGATATGCCTAGAGCTATACTAAAAGGAAATATAGATTGTAATTTAAGATTTTAAAATAACAAGGATGCTTTTTGCTTCAGATACGCCATGGACTTTATCTTTAACTGAATTTATAAAAAGAAGTGGTCAGCAAGTCCAAGTCACATGAGAAACTTGGCTGAGAAGTCCAAAGGCTGAAGTACAAATTCTTCCTTCGTGTTTCCTTTGACATACTTTGCCTTCTCCAGTTGACAGCAGTGAAGCTTCACTGAAAATGCACTTTCTAGGCCAGTTTTCCATTAATTTTTGTTCCCTTATATTCCAAAGTGAGAATTCTCTAGGGACAGCCTGAGCATCTGAACAACCACTTCATTCCTTTTTTTAACACTAAGGCACAAGTTTGCAACTCCTCTTACATTCAGTCACTCATTGTGTGCCTGCAACATCTGTAGCAGCACAGGGAAGCGTACAAGAGCAGACAGTTTACCTTATGGCAAATTCCAAGGCAGTATTTAAAGTTCAAATGAAATTCCAGCATTCGAAGTGGGAGGTTTAAGGAAAAAAAGTCCCAGGTCTGTCAGTGAAAAGTTTAATTATGGACAAGATGACACACACATAGTAAAGCCCACAAAGGCAGCGACACCACTGTGGAAGCACATTCCAATAAAATCTTAAAAGATTACTTTAATAATAAACCATGCATTCCTGAGCAAGCCATCGCAAGATTAGCTACCACATTGCTTTGCTGCAAGCAGATTTTTCACAAGCTGTTATTGATACCGCTTTCAAGGCATTTGTGAATGTCGATGTCTTTGGTGTTTTTATTTCATGCAGCTACCCCAGTTTCCACCCAGACTGGAATCCCAGTGATCCTAATGACAGACTGTGGTTTGGGCAGAGTTAATGTCTGGAAAAGAGATAGAAAAACTCAATGAGGTGAAGGTTTCCAGCTGCAACTTCAAGATAATTTTAGACCTGCTGAAAAATGGCTTGTGTTTGGGAAGTGCTGAGGCTGATACTGTTCTGTCCAATAAGTGGTTAACTTGAGACAAAAAAACCTTGGGTAGGGACTGAACCCATGCCAGCAATAGTAAGATCAGACACAACAAATATGAAAAAAAAAGTCATCATCCCGGAAAACAAAGCGCCCTCTCTCTACTATAATCTTTTAGTAGTCAGGCTTAAAGTTGTAACACATTGTCCATTTGATTCTGGTCTTGCTGTAGAGAAATAAACACCTTTTTACTTTTCATAAAGTGTAAAACATGCCCTTTAAGTCCTGCAGCACAGTATAGATGAAATAACTGAATTCCTGTGGGGCTTTCTGCCTGGATTCCTCCTACGTTCAGAAGGCAATCCTATTACATATGTTTAATGTAACAGTTCTGAATTTTAGCATTTAGCTCAACAATGTGGGTCATCAGGGGAGCTGTTCTAAGTTGAATTACAGAATAGATAGTGCAGTCCTCAAGGCTTGAGACTTTTTTCATTCTCTAAGAAAACTGTATTTTTTTCCAGTTAGCTGTTAACCGTTTATCAGTAAAAAATTTTTCCATGAGATTATTAGTGGTGTCCCAAGTGCTGGTAGACAGCAAAGGACCTCTTGACATTTCTGTAGTAGATGCAATTTTATTGCACCTCAAAAGGGCTCTTAAACTGCTCTCTATTGGCAAACAAAAAGCATTTTCATCTCTCCCAAATTCTACAACAAATAGGATAAATCATATTTGTAACCATTTGTGCAACTACTCAAGGTATTTCAGTGAAAAGTGCCTGGGTTTTGTGTTGGGCAAAGCACAAATGGTAATCCTGCTTATGCCAGCACCAGGCTGGGCTGCTCTATAGAAGTTGCTTTGTTACCACACCATGTTTAAACTAGGCACAATGTCATCTTTCATGTTAGGCAGTCTGTGTAACTCCCACAATGCATGCTGAGCAAAGTATTATTCTTTAAAATACGTGCAGCCCCAGGACCAAGAAGCTCCAGTCCTTCTGGTAGGTGTCTAGCACAAGGTGTTCAAAACAATGTACAGTGCCGCGCAAGCTGTACAAAACCGACATTGTTAAACATGAATACAACACTGTCCCAAGGAATTCAGATCTAATCCTGCAAATACCGACATGTGCGTAGCCAGCAACCTGTTAATTGTAGCAAATGCCTCCTTACTTATGTAGCATGCACTTCCTTCCATGAACACTAGGCTAGTGTATAAAAATACATCCCTCATGTCCTTTTTGGTTAAAATTAGCACTTCTGAAATGAAAGACAGATACAGGCAAGTGAAATGCAACTATCAGCTTTTAGTCACCTCAGGCGCAGGGTTCTTACCACTTTTGCTGTTCACAAAGTGTACCACCCCATATTGTGGAAAGTATCATTTGGTAGCTTTGGACGTGGATGATAGCCAAATGCATTCACCAGTTTTGAACCCTGATCTCCCTGGTGGTAAAATAATTTTGTATTAAGTATTTCCCTCTTCCAAAATGCTTAGAAATATCTATCAAATGTATTAAAACTGCAGGAAAAGGGTTGCTCTTTTTTCTCTTTCTAAAGTGGGTATTGGTGTAGAGGGCAATATCAGTTTTCAACAGAAATATTTCGTGCTGTTTTGAGAAAATAAATGTTAGGCTAAGTTTACAGCCTTGAGAAAAAAAATAAGTTCTGCTACAAGGACAGAAATGTGATTTTTTATCAGAGGCTCTTTCATACAAGTTGGAAAACAGCTGTACTGCACTGGGAAACAAAACATGATAGATGTTTGAATAGAGATGAGTGGGAAGTACAAAGGTCAGGTCTGGATGTGACCCAGAAATTGAACTGCACTCGCCCAATATTTTGGTTCAGCTAGTCACGGATTTGGGGGTGGGGAGGGAGTAATTTGGGGTGGTTTAGTTTTGGTGTTTGGAGGTGGGGGGAACGTTGGTTTGGACTTGGATTTATTATTTTTTTTTAACACCATCACTGCACCCGCGTTTATGCAGACACATGAGGGGACCCTATTTCTAGAAGAGCGTTTCGGGCCCATTGCTGCCTGAGATGCATAAATACCTGTCCCTGCAAACTGCGGGCGCCCGAGGTTTCCGTGCCCCCGCAGGGTCCCCCAGTCTCCCATCGCCCTGCACCCCTCCCCGCGCCCCCTCCTGGGCGGGGGCTGTCCCTGGCCCCAGCTCCCCCCCCCCCCCCCCCCGGGGCGGGGGC